AAATGTGAAAGAATCGATGATATTCCCACCAATGCAACAGGAATCCCGGCGTTCTTTACTTCAGTTTGGAGTGAAACTTTTAATTTGATAAAATAAAAAGTTACAAAGCAATAACTGGGGTTTGAGAATGTACTTAATTGAACAAATTCGTATTTTTTATTTTATGCAAAAAAGCTAATTATTAGGGACAGAGACTGCCAACGGCTTTCCAGACCAGCATGTTTCCGCTTTAGTTTAATTTCCTGAACGGTGATTCYGGCATTTTCATCATGATTAGGGTTACTTTTGGTATCTAGATACTATCACACTAGTTGAAAATCAACTATCGTCTATTTTATGTATTTTAACAAACTATCCCCCATTAATAAGGTATAAAATGAGCAAAGACAAAAGAAAAKGAACAAAAACAACAGGAACTTTGAGCAATTTCGCCACCATAGCGAAGTTTAAGTGATTAATGAATCAGGTACAGACATATTCTCAACGATCAGTTTTAATAGCGGAAGCCTTTATTGTTGGAACCCGCAGCCTCCACAATTAAGTCTTAACGCAAACAGCAACAAACAGCCGTATTTTTGTATAGATGTTTTCAGCGTATTAGATCTGAATCAGACCGTTGTATTTTTTACAAAACTTATAATGTTAACCATCCTCTATACGGTTTAACTTGCTGTCAAGGACCTTTCTCTAAGCCTAAGACATTCTAGCAATCTCCTTTCTGGAATTAATATGAGGGAACGATTCAAATCACCCTAGATAAACAGGTTATATAGTTTAAGACATATTCATAACTTATTCATCGAGTAGAAAATTTCCAACAATGCATTGTAGTGTATGATATTTTTAAATACATATTACTACATTATGTCTCGTATTAGTTATGCATTTTTAATAATTTAAGGTGTTTTATACATAACACCCTCCAACACCGAACACTTTTAAACGACCGTTCAACCTACTTAATCTGACTCGATATTTCCCAAATTAACTGACAATGTTTATGCATTCATTTTTAATTAACTGCATAAATGGCAGGGATTTTTATAGAAAGAAGGAGCTCAAAGAAAGCTGATTTCCGTGCGAATCTTTKGCAGTTCGAAAAACCAAAAGTACTGCGACGGCTTAACTATACAGCAAAAAAATAACAAATAATATATCCAAAACCAAGGAATTCTTTTAGCCATTTTTGAGAAAAACAAGAAAACAATTGATATGTTTCAGACAAAACATAACTTCTTGAACGCGTCTTAACTAGGCAACGGTTTTCAATTTTATTTGACAAGGTTAAAATGTATCAATCATTTGAAACGTTGCATCAATTCTGTCCTTTTAGCAAAATAGAAGCAACTCAGTCAAGGTGAAATAAAACTTCGGGTCCGTTTTYGATTTGAAAAACGCTAAAAACTACACTGAAGTCTTCGCTTCATAAACACTTTAACTAATGTGTGATTAAAAAATCGCATCTGTAGAACTACGGAGAGAAATTACTTCACAGCCTTATCTTATAAGCCAAACAAGACTTTTACTGTAATTTTGAGATTTAGAAATTATCATTTGAGCTTAATTATGTCCCAATTATAAGCAAAAATACGTAAAATATAAATGTTTTCGCGCTTTTCTGAAAACCATGCCAGGCAGAGGAATTCCTTTGGCTTTGTATCATATCCCTTGTTATATCTCAAAATTTAACAGAACTTTTCGTTTTTCTAGTTGCCATCGAAATCGGCTGAAAATCACCTTTCTTTGAGCTCCTTCTTTCTGTCATAAAACTGTCATTTTTGCAGTAAATTAAGATTATACGCATGTTTTAAGAGCTTTTAACTACGTTTAACATTGTCAGCTCATTTGAAGAAAATCGAGTTTAGTTGTTCAAACGTTCGTTTTAAAATATTAATTGCGGAAGGGTGCGACTAGGCCCGGGCGAATAGAAACACCTTTTAAGGTTAAAACCTTTCTATTGAATTATATTATTTTTCAACTTAAGCTTTTGCAGCAGGCTTTACCTGGGTGGATGGCATTAACCAGTTAAATAAATGATGAACAACTATATACTTCACAAAAGCGTTTGTGGATTGAAAATTTGAAACAAAATTTGAAACAAGTCTATTTATGAAGCTTCGCCAAGTTGAAATTCACATTAAGCAAAAAAACACTGTTAAAAAAGACACGCAGCAGTTGCGGCCGACTGTAGCAAAGAAGTTAAAGCCGAACAGGTGCCAAAAAATCTAAAGTAAGCTTACACTCAGAAAAATAGCTAAAATGTTATAATCTCTATAGAAGATGCTCAGAGAGGACAGATTAAATTATCACACAACGTGCGGATTTYAATTCCAACGCGTTTACTCTTATGACAATTAAATTTTGGTAATATATCGTCACTATATACCCATAGGATTCTATTCTATTCGAACCATAACAATTCGATTAAGACAATTAAGGCTTTCTTACCTTAGGAAGCCGTCGGATCTGATTCTCTGTRCGAGGTCGATCGGTTTCAGGAACTGAYTATCTATCTAGACATAGTTCTTCCCATATCAATGGTTATAGGATGTTTTAGTAGCCAATCAAATTGCAGTAGATTCAAGTGTTTTTCTAACTCGTTTTTAAGTGTATGGTTAAGTGCATATGACATTGTTATTTTGCTATTTCAAAATAACATTGATATGAGAAGAATGCTGGCTTGGATAAGTATCACTGCCACTTGATACACACCCTTTATATTTCAATGAAAATGTTCAGGTTCTGCTAACATTGTGACGCAGAATTCACCTTCGTTTTTTGTCTAAAATGTAAACCTTGCATATAGTAGTACTTAGACCAGTTAGGATTCTCTTTATATTAATGATACTTGAGAAAATAGAAAAATTGTGTCAGATACACTCTAAGTGTTTGATTAAGGTCTGAGTACGTGTGATATATCACAGCATATTCCTGGGCTAGCCTGGAGCTTTCATACCTAGTTGTTTTTCTTTGTGCGTGTGCGTTCTTTTCAGGTTTTTTTTCCTTCTTCTTCTTCTTCTTCTTCTCCTTATGTAGTGAAACATATATATCATCAAAAGAAAACGAGAATTTTCAGAAAACTAATTTATGACACTTTTAACACAATCATTAAAACGGTCTGAATGTAACACACACTATGTTCATATCTTTGAATGTAACACTGATCGGATGTCTCCCGATGAATCTACAGTTCAAAACACAAATCCACGAATAATCAGTTTTTGATAAGTTTTATTGCCCGACAAATTTCACTGTCTTTCCTTTTATCCCTAACCTATGACCACCTCTATACACGACAGACAATGTAGTGACCATTACTTTTAAGATGTTAAGGTTTTCCATACCTGCTCGTATTCTCCAACACCGAACATTTTTAAACGGTCGTTTGACCAACTTAATCGAGCTCCATTTCCTCAATAAAACAGACAATTTTGTATTCAGCTTGAAGGTTTTTAAAAATACATTTATGTTTAATACAATGGGGTCTTTTACAGAAAGACGAAGTTCAAAGAAAGCTTATTCCCCGCCGATTTCTATGGCACCTAGAAAAACTAAACGTACAGCGTTTCATTGTGTGGGATATAACAAATAATATATCACAAAATCAAGGAAATTCTTCTAGCCGATTTTGAGAAAAACAAAAAAACTCTATATCTTTTGCGTTTCTGTGCATGCGCTGTCGACCTTGCAACCATAAATAAAAACATAAATTCAAGTGAACACGCCTTGAGCATGGTTTAAATGTATCAAACCAATTGAAACTTTGCAGCTTTGTCCTTATAGCAAAGAAACAAGTACGTCAATATGAAAAAAATATTTGGGCCATTTTTGAATTGATTAGAAAAAACAATACAACTAAATTGTTCGTTGCTGTATAAACTAAAGTTTACTCACAAAATCACCAAAAGAAATTACTTCATACGTGCACAGCATTATCTTATAAGCCAAGMAAGTCTTTTGCTGTAAATGTAAGGCTCAGAAATTATATAGATGATAYTTTTATACATGGCCCGCGGAGATACGGATTTTATCTTCGCTTGTTCCATTGATAATGGATGCTAATATTAGTCTTCCAAARTTAAATATTGAAAACATATTCATAGGTTCAGATTGAAATATCCTTCAACATTTTCTATTAGTTTTCTGGAAATATACCCTGTATATATCAAGGGGCAAACGTAGGAAACGGCAGAGTTAAAAAAAATTAAATGCAAAACTGTATGAAAAAATTATATTAAATATARATATGTGTAAATATATTATCACAAAAAAAGAAATTCAGGCTGAGTTCACATTTAAAAAAACACTTCCAAAGTAACTGAAAAAAATTAGTGGATGGTCAGCTTAACATATTTTCAAGAATGTATCATATAATTTCATCTACGTTCTATGGTATCGAATATATATATTATGTATAATATCTAAAAGTTTCATTTTTCTCTAAAATCGGTGTATAGAGTGCACGCCACATAAGCATGAAACAATTCTTAAGTAATTAGCACCTAATAAGATTTAGTTATCAACTAACTAAGAATTTAGTGAGGCATAAACAAAGACAAGTTTCCTTGTTCATGCCTCAGTGAATTCTTAGTTAGTTGATAACTAAATCTTATTAGATGTTGATAGTTAAGAATTGTTTCATGCTTTTTTTTTGCGTGCACTCTATCTACAGTCGATGTGAGTATTTGAATGTAATTTTGTAGAAAAAAATTAAAAAGGAAATAAAAATGTTCCATTGATATCATTTGAACACGAAAAGACTAAAATAAAATTTGCTTCTTCAAGCACCCATGTAATGTTCTGTTTATTATATAAACTCAAATTTATATCTATAAGGCAAGAAATAGGACATTTGTACGGAGTATCCATGGTAACGTGTTGTTTTCACATGTGAAAGATTTCACTTTTTCCGCGTTAGGGATTTCCTGGTATTTTATTGAAGTAGTCAATTCATCGTATAAGCACAACGTCTGCTGATTCTTAGTTTATTTCTTTGTTTTAAAAACATTCATGAGATAACTGACAAGTCTGCCGGTACGATTTGGCTGCTTAGGAGAACCGAACAGTCGACTCCACAATCCTTTAGTCTTTGAGTTTTTAAGTTCATCTTTGTAAATAAACCATTGCTGACAGGGAAGGACTGGGCACGGTGCTGGCACGGGTTGAGGTGCTGGTAGACCACAGTCTGTGGAACGGATCAAAATATTTTAATGCTCCATTGACTGACTTACCTACCTATCAACCGACCGACTGACTGACTGAGCCTTTCTAGCATTTATTTAATCCCCAACTGTCTGATGAGTGCGTAGCACGAAACTCGAAGTTACAGCAAAATCTTGCCTCTTTGATATCATATATATAATCCCCAACTACATTAACTACCTGAAAATAAGAACCATGTCTTTTGAAAGTCATGGCAAAAAGGTTCTTGTTTTAAGGGGTAGTTGTTGCTGTTGTTGTAGTTGTTCTTAATTGATAATAGGGGGGATACAGTTGTTATTGTTTTGCATATATATCATATGTATAATAAATAAGCTTGATATAGACTATAATTATATAATACTATAATGTTATGTATAACTGTAACTTTCAACTACTGGTAACGGGTAAATAGTGAACTCAACAGCTGTAAATTCAGTAAAAGTATTTGTGTGCAATCTTCAAATTGAGTAACTTGTGGTTTGTTTATCCTGTAATTTAGCTCTAACCCATATTATAAGACCTTGCTTGATAACGTTTGGCTAAAAAGGTTCGTATTTAAGGTGTTATTAAAACGGCAAATTTCTGCCAAGAGGTTCTTAATCCATTAGGTTCTTATTTTCGGGTGTTTACTGTACTGCAAGTCGGATCTGATAGCTAAGCTGAGAGCATCGGTTGTACAAATGGGAAGGTCGTATGTTCGAATCCAAGGTTATTCCGCCCGGTATAACCTCCTTCACTACAACCTCGTACTCTGAGAATTCGTTTTCTTGATCAGCGGCGAAAATGTAAAAATCTTGGATACTGGAATTTTCTGCAGATTTCGATTGGTTCTTGAGATAAAAACAAATGCCGCCAGAATAACACTAGGAAAACTTTCATTTCCATGATTCTTGCTCTAAAATGATTTCTTAAGTCAGTAAAGTAAGAAATTCTAATGAATGCTTTAACTAAAATGCAGTTATTTTTAGCCGTGCCGAACTGTCGCCAACCGATCCAGCCATCGTGATCACAAAACATCCCAGAGCATTCCAAAATTTTCCTCATCCGATCATAATCTATCGAAATTTACTTTGTCCATGTTTGTCGAGTTTAGATCCATTACTTGAGATCTTATACGTTCCTGTTTTGACTTTTTTTATAGCAATTTTCTTGAGGAAATTCGAGCAAAAGCCATTTGGATAACGAGTTGTGCGCGGCGGAGACCGGACGTCTGAAATCAGAAGTGAAAATTTCCTTGTATGTTTGTCGGCCTTTGTCGACGGCCGAGAAAAACAACTATCTTTTCTATCATGAATCCATATTCTCAAGGTTATGTATTTGACGATCGATTGCAATGATTGAAAGTTGCAAAGCCATATATGGCCAGTACAGTAACAAACTTAAAGCACATGAACAAACAATAAAGATCAAAACATGAGCACATTACTAGAACTTTCTGAACCGGCCCCTCGGTGTCTCACTATTTTGGATTCATAGAGAAGACTGGACGTTTTTACTGCAAAAACACTGGGCGGTTCTAAGGAGGAGCCGACGGGTTCCTGGGAGAAATATACATGTTTTTATGTCCCAGGCAGCTGTAAGTCACAACTGGTTGCCAGCGAGAAATTCAGGAATGAAAAGAACTCTACAGGCAAGAAATAATTTTTGCCAGGAAAATATAAATTTTCTACCTAAAAAAAATCGTATAAGCCGTTTTTGACCATAAAAAGTTGTATCAGCCTGTTTTGACCTTAAAAACGTTTGCCAGGAACAAATTCATTTTAAAGAAGAAATGGCACCACATTTTATTGGGAGATTGTCAACAATACATAGCTCAAACTCCCTTTCCAAGGAAAAAATTTGTACAAAGTTATTTAGAAGAACAGATGGCTCCTCCTGGATTCTCTTCATCAGGTCTCCACTATTTGATATAACCTATAGTTTCTATATGATACTTACTTGGTTGGCAGCCAGGTGGAGGCACGTAACCAGGCACTTCTCTAGGCTGTGGGTTTGTCGGTGGGTTTGTTGGTATTACTGGTGGTTTTGGTGTTGTGGTTATGTTGAGAGTGTGGTTGTGGTGGGCAAGGGTAATGTTTTTCGCTAGGGTGTGAGTCATGTTAACATGTTGTGATACGTTATGTGTGTGGTTTATCACCGGAGTTTCTAAAACATCACAAGAAAGACAACCACA